TTACCACCTGTTCGAAAAGTTGAATTCAAGTCAGATATTTTAAAGAGTCTGAGACTGTGATGCAGTTATTGTAAATCAAATAAGAATTATTACAGCCTTTATAAAATTTATTCCAGAAGGACAATATGACTAGTTATGATACCTTTTGAATCTACCAAATGCATTTATATGTTGAAAATTCGTACATACTCTTCGCATGTAGGTACAATCCAGGTTCATATTATTGCCTGAGAGATAGGTCGGAACATACATACATACATATTTATGTAAAAACATACATACAAAAGTAAATACAGTCATTTAGGTACCCTACCTTTAACTCTAAAACTCAAATCAATGTTTAAACAACGAACAGTAGCCATTCTTAACCTTGACAACTAAATTAAATACATACTTTGCTGGCAAAGTTTTTGTATAATTTTTTTCCTTATAAAAATGTCATAGTTTAACTTTCCTTGGAGGTATAGGTAAGCGGTTTGAAAACGAGTTGTCCGCGCTAAGTTAATTACGCTAGTTGTAATTTTCGCGCGTTGGTGAATACGTTCAAAAGAATTAGCTGTTATTCTAGAAAATAATTGCATATTGATCAAGTCAAAAAGTCAATTACATAATGATTTTATTGCTGTTAAAATTGGAAGAAAAATATGTAGAATGACGAGTTTAAAATCAAAAGTGCAGACAGTATGTATGTATGTGTCTGAAAATTGCTAACAGACAGTAAATAGTCACTATGACATGTTCGGTGGTTAATAGAGAATGTTAGATATTAGAAATATTGGTAGTTGCAGAAAATTACATACATGCATATCGTCGTTTACAGTACAAAACCGCCTATCGTCGTTTTGCAAAACCGCGTAACTGACATTTTTTCCCAAAAATTGGATTTGTTCACCGAAGCTCTTGACTCAACCCTATGTGCCATAGACCATGGCAATGCGAGCCGAAACTGCCTATAATTTTAGTGTTTCGCATAGTAATGATACCCCAAAGAGTTTTTATTTAGCTTTCAATGTTTGGATCAAATCCAGTAATTGAAGTTTCATCCAGCGTCCGGATTTTGCTCCTATCGCAGTAGATTTACTCCGATTGCCTTTTTTAATTTAAAATCTACTACCTACTCCGCTCGACCTAAAATATGCTCTGATTTTTTTTACTTTTTCAGCGATGAATCTCATTGAAAATAAATACAGGAACAGGCTTAGGGCAGGTTTCTCCAACTCAACTTAACTTAATTTATCAATTTTTTTGACTTAAGTCAAAAGTTAGCCTACTTTTTACACAGCTTATACTTGACTAAGTCTAAAAAATTGGCAAAACTAAGTTGAGTTGAAGAAAGCAGCCCTTAATGTCTAAACAGTTGAAAGTTCAGTTTAAGAAATTTGTACGCCGCACACTGGGGCCAAGCGTGCTCAAAATTTAGTGCTTAAAAAATGTTTTTTTTTTGGAAAAATAAAAACACAGGTTTATTCCCCGTTAAATTCTACATTTGGGGGTAAGCTTTCACCTTTCTATTGTTTTTCGGCTGGGAGATATGCGTGTCCAAACTTGACAAATTTGAATTTTCAAAACTGAGAAATTAAAATGTGCAATTCAAATTGTTACTGTAAGAAAGCAGTATTATATTTCGTTATTTTGTTTTTTCCATTACTTAAAATGAAGTTTATTTATTCTTTTGGTGCATTTTGTTTGAAATTATGTGTTAAAAAAAATATGATTAAAAAAAACTAAACTAAACTCTGTTCTTTGCAAGTGTAATTTTCAAAATCACTTTTTTTTAATGCGCAAAGCGCTTTTAAATTTGACAGTATTGCAATAAAGTGTGTTCCTTCATTACTAAGAATCCGGGTTCAAAACCAAAAGCACTTTGCGCATTTTTAAATAAATTGGTTTTAAAAATTTCACTTTGACTTTAATTAAAAACAAAAACATATACTTCTTACTACTACTTATTTTGAGGTTGCTCAATGAATAAAAAGCGGATTTAGTTCGAAGAAGGACTTTAAAATCTTTAATGAGAAGCGGATTTAGTTCGAGCAAGGACTTTGAAAACCTTATAGAGATCTATATAGTAGGAAAACGGGTCGCGCTGAGAATTTAGGAGACATTTTTAATAGATTGCTTGTTTCATTAGACCCTCTGATTACTTACTCGCAATTGTTCCAATGGTCACCAACCGGAGATCTTTCTTTGCTGAAGCAATGAAGTTAGTAGAACTTGAAGCGAATTATATTAGTTTAACGGGGCTTGGATGGGATTTAGATTCTGACTATGAAGAATAAGTGTCACAGTTTTCATTATATCGTGCTTATCTTAATTATAGATTTTGAGTGCAAGTTTGAAGTAGCTAGGAAATACCGTTGATTTTTGGCAAGTTTTTGGTGAAAGTGTCGCTCATTTTCTCCATATAATAAAATCGTCGAACATACTTCGTATGGAAATACGTAAGTCCTAGCTATTTCAAACTTGCACTTTAATGTACTACAATTAAATGGGTTACAAAACTTCATATTCAAAATCCTTAATAGTGCGTATCATAACTATAAGAGACCCACATATTGAAAAGTTTTGACTATTTATTTTATTAACCGACTTCAAAAAAAGTAGGAGGTTATCAGTTCGTCGGATTTTTTTTTTATTTTTTATGTATGTTACCGCATAACTTTGAGCCACGTTAACCGATTTCGATAATTCTATTTTCATCGGAAAGGTGGTACATCAAGGGTGGTCCTATAATTTAGATCCGATAATTGGGCCATGAAGAAATTAACGAGTTGGTTTTGATTTTGTCTTAAAAATCACTTTTTTTTTACTTTATTTTAAATAATTTTTTTCTAAAAATAAAGCTGATTTTTGAATTAATTAATGTTTTTAATTAGATACATTACTTGCTTTTCGATAATTTGTGTGCTTAATTTGTAAGTCTCTTTAAATTTAAAATATAATGGGGCATATTCATAGTCGAATCAAAGACGAAACTAAAAATAATTTCGAATTTTTTACTTTCAACTTTGTTTTGACCATGCATTTATCCCTTTATGTTTAACATTGAAACGTAAATTTTTGTATCTAGTATTTCCTGTCTTTTACTATCTAACAAACTTCTGTATAAATGACTTCACCTGTTTCAAGCGCTTTCCTAGTGATTACAACAAATTCACACTATGTTACTGTTATTACATTTTATAGCTTTTAACTTAGTTTTAAGTATTGCGAATTCATAGATAAAGCTATCCTCAAATCTAAAGCACTCGTTCTTCCTGATTATATTGTAACATAAGCTTACCTATTTTTAATAAAATTAGCTGGGGAAATAACTCTATAAAAAATTGGCTAAATATAGTTAAAATATGGTCATCGATGCGTTAAGTCAAAGTCGTAAATGGGTTAAATTATTCATAATTTGCACAATAATAAAATCAAATTAACTTTACATAAGATATTACAAAAACCAATGGGTTAATGCATGATCAATAATGGGTTAAGACGCCAAAAATGTTCTCTAAAAAAAGTAGTTCAAGCGAGTCTAATGGAAAGAAAATGATTCCCGAATTTTGAGCACCCGCTTATATGGGGCATCACCAGTGTGCGCCGTCTGATAATTTACTTATTTTTTTTTTAATTATAAATTTGTTGATGGCAAGTTTGTTTTGATTAATATTTAGAGATTACGCTGATTTACAAGCATTGCTTGCCAATGTTTTACAATTACAATGTAAACACAATGTGATGAATTGAAAAACTACCTGTAATATATTTACATATCGTCTTTTAAAGTACAAAACCGCGTATCGTGGTTCTGCAAAACTGCGTTACTGACAATATTTGCTCACCGGAATCACCTGACATATATCTAGCCCTTATCCAATTTTATTAAATATCGATACTTAGATATAAGAAGAAGAAATTAGGGATAAAAGAGAGACCCGTTATGAAATAAGACAAGTTTTACTCTCATACAAAATTTGGGCAACTTCTCATACGAGGTTTTGCATTTTCTTGATACGCTGTTTTGTACTTTAAACGACGATACATACATATGCAAAATAATGCTTTTGTATAAAAAAAATATTTTTATGGAATGAAAAAGTACCTAAAGATGTAAAACCTTCTCCTTTTACATAATATTTATTTATGTAATAAAAAAATGTTAATCTGCATCGAAAATTTCCGTTTTGCTCCGATGTTTCGAGTCATTTACTCCCGAATCGAGTTTCAGCAGTCCGAACGCGGGTCACCCCTTCCTGTTGTTGTTGTTGTTATGCATTTCTAATCTAAATTTTACAGCTTTAAACATGCAAGGGAGTCGTTTTCTGTTAAAAATGTTGATATAACGAAGTATGATTCCCAGCAAATCACCTCATTCTAAAATTTTCTAAACTTCACTTCATAATGCATCCTAGAGCAAAGGATTAGGCAAACTTTGGAAAAATAAATGTGTTTTAAATAGGTTGTTTTAATAAGGTTGAGACTGTACATTCTGAAACATTTAAGGCCTATTGTGGTTTTCAAAGACGTTCTTTTTTATTTTAGGGCGAATTCGTAAGATTTACTTTTCGTTATTCGAGGGACCGCCTCCGAACGGCAAATGGTTTTGATGGGAAGCTTTTTGATGAGAGAAATATACTCTAAGGTTTACCTGCCGAGAAGCGAGTGCTATTAGAAAAACCGTTTGCTAATTTAATTGTTGCTCGGATTAGGGATCGTACCCAGGTTCTACGGAGTGGCGGTAGTACGCATCTCTAACCACTCAGCCACAGCGGCCCTCCAGTAGATACCGCTAATGAAATTGAAATCATTACTCGAAAATCACTGAAAACTGGCCAACCCGAACTCGAGACACCTTTTGTTTTCAGAGTTTTGGAGTTCAGCAAATAACGTATGATTTTTTTTATTTATTATTTAAATCAACTATTTGTATCCGGGTCCGTTTTCTTCACATCCCTTTGACGGCGGCATTTTTTATAATTTACTAGACAACTTTTTTCTTGCTTAACACTTACCAAACTTTTTTTTAACGTTGGAGCTGTTTCCCCTACGGCTAGGTTACGGCTCAGTTGTGGTTTGCGTTGGTGACGGCTGAAAGCTTACAGGTATTCCAAATATAGAAGCAACGATGCACAGGCACAATGACTAAAATGTCAACTTTTGCACTTGCAATAAAGTTTCGAAAAGTAAATTTTTTATAACTCACTATTATTTGGAATTCTACAGTAAACTTTTTTCGTTCTAAGCACAGACACTTGAAAATTTTTAATTTGTTATTTTGCTCTACGTGTTCGCTTTTGCCTTAAACAATTTGCGCCAAGTCGATAATCCAATGCTGTTTTACTGTTTGCTGAATGTTTACACGAACTTTACGCTTAGCTTATTATTAACTTTATTTTTTTATTTCGTTTGTTTGTTTATCCTTCGTATGCGATTTCGCGTGCTATGAACACATTATGAAATTCTGCACAGCACTTTCATGCTTTTAAATTCGCATCATTTGCTGCTAAGCTGTTTTATCTTTTGTTTTCGCGACTGTTTAGTTTCTGCTTGCACATTTTTTGTGAACTTTTTTCCTGTTTCTTACAGGGTTTTTTTTTATTATTTTGTAAATACCTATTACGGTATTTTCGACCACTTTTAGTTGAGAAAATTTGAGAATTCGCGCAAAAATTTGCAATTTTAGTACTATCCGCTGATAATCATGAAACGGTATTTTTATTTTTTCGAAAGCTACGCACCGAGATTTAACCTGCACTGCTCTGTAGACAAGAACACGGCTTTATAATAATAACAATAATGACTACAGTGACGGCAGCAGGCGAGAGACGGTGGATAACGCAGCGGAAAACGACAACGACAATGACGATAACGCTCCACAAAGACCGAGTGAACTGATCGAACGTAACTTTCGGACTGACTGCGGTGCTGCGTACAAACAAGCAACACCTTTGTGTGTGGTTGGTGTTGGTCGACGACGGAAAACCCGATTTGTTAGGTGTGTGTTTGCGTGCGTGTTGTTGCTTTACAAGTCGAGTATTTGCGTGTGAGACGTGTGTTCCAGGAAAGGGAACGGACGGTAAATGTGTTCGCATAGGTGCGGTGTATGCGAAGTGAAAGGCTAGTGGTGCTGCGTGGCGAAGCGCTTCAGTGATACACATAAAACCCGAACACTGACATGAGTGTGAGGGAGAGGCAGAAAGAAGTCAGTTCGCGCAGCATATTGTCGACTTCTCAGTGCAATGCAAGCAAACAGGTACGAAAGAGATGCTTCGTGTCGAAGGGAAGCAACAATATGTATGTATATGGCACTCTGCAGCCACTGTTGTATATGTATATACGTTCGTACGTTCGCACTGCCCGGCCGCCATTACTGTAAGAATGAGACAACTATAAGATAACAGTTCATGTAGATGGCTGCCTAACTAGCAAATTTATTGTTGCTATTGCTGTTATTTTGCTTTACTCAAACACTTTGCTTTTTGTTGTTGTGTTGTTGCTTGAAGGTAATAAATATTTGTGTGCACGTTGATATGCTTTGCAGATGTAAATACACTTGAACGTATTCATTTGGAAGCCTTGTTGACGGTTCGGTGTTGGACGCCCCTACCACCTACATTCTTGCGCTGCCACCCACTCCACTCAACGCTACAAACACAACTTGCAAGCACCTATGTATGTATAAGCAGTGAACCACAGCCGAACGGCTACAACGCATACTCACACACCCGCATACACTCAGAGATACAGCACCTAATCTAACCACACCCCCTACGTCGGTTCAACAGCCGCACATTCGCCTCAACATCAGCGCCATATGGCGACTTCCGAAAACTTCGTTTACTGCTTTGCAGCAAATGGGTGCCTACACGCGACTGCGAGTGGGTTGAGGATGGCGGCGACAACGGCAACGTAGATGACGATGACGGCCACCACAATGACTACCACAGCGCGCACATCGTCACTATAAGCAACGATGTATGCACATATCTACTTACGTATACACATATTTTTGTTGTTGTAGCATTTGTTGTTCGCATCGATCGATGTCGACTGGGTTGAGTGGGCTGCACGGGCTTGAAAGAGGCTCAAGTGGCTTCCACGGCTTGCCACACAGGATTGGAGCCCAAAAAGAGCGCACGTACGGTGTGTTGTTGTGGCGTCGCTTTCGACAAATGTCGGCGACAATTTTTTGTGTTTTATGTGTTTCAGCACACGCCATCTTGCGACGCTGCGACTATCCCCAAAACCCACCACCTATCCGTGAGGCTACGATAGTACATACATACGAATTTTATATTAATGTTTGTATGTGTGCATATGTTTTTATTTTAAATTGCGATTTGCCTCCAAAGGAACCCCAGCTGAAAGCATGTGAACCCACTCACAACCATTTCGATTGCCCATTTTGTATGCGCCTTGATGAGTGAAGTACGAAAAAAAATGCAATGAAAAATGCAAGCAGTCTCTCAGTCAACAACGGTGAAAATGCTGAATAGAGCATTGATGAAGGCACACACGAGTTACATACTCGGACTTTTTGGTAGAGTTTACTCTTATAAAATTCATATTTTCATTGTATGTAGTAAATACATGTGCACATACATATGTATGCATGTATGTACATATATTTAGGCATATAACTATGCATACATTTTCTTATAATCTCTAATGTGTAACCAACTAATAACGGTGATTGATTAGATCAAGAGATTACAATTATATTTCATGTATTGATTCCAAATGTGAGAACATCAAATAACAAAATATTTGAACAAAAATATATTCCTAGGTAGGTACTTAAGAAAATTGGCGGCATAACGCTTACTTTGAACTGCATAGTAGGTACATAATTAGAGGAGATTTAAGTACATACATACATACTTATTTGCATTAAATTTTGATACTTATTGAAATACACAAGCACGTTATTTTATGCGCACGAGATTTGTGGGAGCACCAAAACAGTGTCATGCATGGCTGAGATTGGCTGAAATTATTAAAAAAGGTAATTGTCAGAGAATGTACTCTCGGGTAATAATGAAGATTCCGACTTCCAGTTCTGTGTTAAGCGTTTGATTTAAAATTAAATGGATCACGCTCTACATACTTATAAATATAATTATTAATTGAGACGAAACCTAGCTTCCGATAGAATTCATCTTCTACAAAGAGCTGGTAAATAACATACATATGTATCTACATATGTATGTAAAATCGAAAACACTATAACACTACATGCATACCCACATATGAGACCATGGTCATGGCCTCATATGTAAATATGTAGATACTCATTGAGTTCATAGCATAAATAGTCATTGTGTTTAGTTGAGAACAGTTACCCTTTTCTTTGAAATCATGGCAATAAAGTTTTTTTGGTTAAGTCAAAACAAACCCACATATTTTATTCGATTTGAAAAATATTCTTGAAGCACATTGAAAACGACGGGCTACATCTGTCAAAAGATAGAGTGATTGAATCGGTTGGTTTTGAATATTTTTAGGTGTTTTTTTTTTGGAATCTTGGTTTTTCGAATACCGAGTAAACCGTATTTCTACTATTAAATGAACCGGGTTTTTACCTAGTTTTTATTATATGTATACCAGAATACAAATATTCTAAATATTTTTTTTATTGAAAATGGGACTAGTAGAAAATTGTTTATTAATATCAAAAATCTGAATACTGCAAAGTTTTCCACTGCAGAAAATTACTTAAAAAATAAAAGGAAAACCAGGCGAAAATCTTTCACTATTTCCTTTTGTTATAGCAGCTTACTAAACTTGGTCTAAATCAGTGAATCGACTATGTTGTCTCCTTTCTCATCTAACGACAGGCTTAGGAAAAGGGCAGATCCGATGTGAGCGGGTAAGTGGAGAGGTGGTAAGTGTCTTCGCGGCATCATATTCAAATTATACTGAACAGTTTAACCTGCTACAATATCCATAACGGATTTGTGTCAAAGTACCGCGAGCTTCACTAACCACAGTGGAGTTGGTCACCGATGATGAAATCAAGGGGGTGCGTGTTGGCGAAGGTGTTGATTGATTCTCCATGAATGTCCTGTCTAAAAAATACTATATTTGTATAGTCGGACTGATTCAGCGGACGGTGTATTCTCATTCGCAATACAGTCGGTTCTACAAGATCCAGTTTTTAGACAAAGGACGATCATTTTAACGATCTAACGTTTTTAAGATCGGTGAACCCAATTAAGTGTAAATTTTTTCTGTTTTAAATACTTGTATAAGAAAATTATTTTACCTTATTGATTTCTTAATTAAAGCCATTCCTATTTTCAGCAGTATCTAATATTGTAATTTTGGTCATGATGTGTGACTAACAGTAAGTGTTACTATAGATAAAAGGTATGCAAAATAAAACTAGTTTATCCTGTTTTTTTAATTTTTTTACAATTTACCATTTTTCGAAGAACTCAAAACCAGGTTTTCGAAAAAAGGCGAATACTCGAACATCCTACTAGATAATCATTTAGGCAGCGACAGAGCTACACCCCGCCTGTGATCCGAATAGATCTACAGTCAAACTTCTCTATAACGAATACGAAAACCAGGAAATTACTTAGTAATATGAACATATATGTAGATAATTCGTTATATGTATAGAAAAAAGATGAAAAACTGCGTTATTTAACATTTTTATTTGATGTGATAAGTTATTTCCGTTTGAACTACATTTTTCCACTTTTACTCTACAGCAAAAATTTCTAACATATTAAAAGCATGTTCACATTATCGTAATTTACGGCTCAATTGTAATTAATAAGCAAATCATGCTGAAATCACGCAATTTCGCTCTGTAAAATCTGTCGATATATTAAATAGAAATGAGAGAAAAAGACCCCACTGTTTATTTGAAAAAATGCCTAAAGGTATGCAACCATTTGTTTTTTGAAATCAAGTACAAACCACAGACTCGTACGCACACGTGTTAATCACATATGAATTATGAAAGAAAATGGGAACTTACTTGATTTATGTGAAGCAACGCCTATTGCGTTTAAAGCTTAACAATGTATTTTTTTATATACAAAATACATTAGGCGTCAAGAGAAAATCGTGCATAATTTTCGTCTCGATGCATTCCGGCAAATTTTTTTCTGCAAATAATTGCTAATAGAACGTTCAACAATATTAGCCTAAAAGGCGATTTTAAAGCTATTGAGATGTCAGTAATATTTATAAAAATCTTAATAACTTTTATAAAAACAAACTTTAAGACGAAATAAAAAATAAAAATGTAAAGAAAACATTATCATTATTAACTGTTTAAAAAATTAGCAGACTCTGTATTACCAATCGCGAGAAAACAATTAAAATCTGAACAATTTCGAAAAAAATTTAATAGCTAAATCTTCCAAAATAATTCGAATTTCGAAAAATTGTGAAACCCGTATCTTTTTGTTATCGTTGTGAAGTATAAACAGATAATGGTACAAAAAAAGATCGCCCTTCGAAAAAATGGTGGCCCACTTTACAAATTTTTACTCGAATTCAAAGAAACAAAAGCTGATAACAAAATAGGTTTACATTAATATAATTTTAAACAACTCCTTTGAAACACTGCTTGAAATTAAAGTTAGTAATCGAATAATCGTACAGCTGGGTTCATCAGAAATGAAAAATAAGATTAAAAGTTAATATGTATAACTGTATATGTATAAGTGTATACTATTGCGTAGTTTTATTTTCACCAAGTTTGGCTGACTGAATCAGGTTCCATGTCTGCTTTAGACCAAGGTAGTTAAAGTAAATGAAGTGCAAATTCCGCCTGATCCGAAAACAGTTAGTTGCCACCTGCATCCGTATAAGTTTGAACTTCAGCCCAAAATTGATTATATAACTTATATTATTCCATTTTACAAAATTAATTCTAT